GCTGATGTGTGAGCCCTTCCAGGACTCCCCCCCCCCCTCCCCCCCCGCTCAGAACCTCAAAAGTCACAGAAACAGATGCTTCGAGAGCATTTTTATTTTTATTCATGTCCTAAAAATAATCCTTAGAATAACTGATGGGATTTGATCAATTTAATGCTAATTTTAAAACAGAAGTCCTCCCCCTGATGTTATTAACTTGGCTATGACAACAAAGTGATAACTTCACTTCTTCACCTGAACAACACCAGGGCCGATCAGGAGACACTGCGACCTGAAGGTGCAGGCGCAGGGAGGACGAGGATGCTGGTGACGGGCGGGCGGGGAGGCCCAGCAGCCGCCGCTCCCGCAGACACGAGGGGTCACGCGGCCCGCGCTCAGCAACACGGTGAACCACGAACTGTCAGCCCCAGACCAGCCAAACCTCCCTGGAGCGGAAAGGAACCCCTTAAAGTAACAGCGAAAAAGGAATGCGAAAAGGAATAATTCCGTTTCTTTAAACAAAAGCATTTTCCTATGTTGTTTCCCTAAGACATAACCTTGTTTAAAAAAAGTTCTTTAATTAATTATATAAGGACCCCCCCCCCATTTTGTTCTCGGATTGCAAAACTGCGAGCTGCATACAATGCCATTAATTCAGTGAAAAGGGGGCACAGGGAAGTGGTCCTTGATTTGGTGAAAACCCGGGACACTAGCTGGTAAGCGGATAGGGAAGGAAACGAGTCATGAGCAGTCACTGCCCCCCCGCAAACTCAGTGAGAGAACCCCTTATTTCCACAGGCTGGCACAACCCCAAAGTATCAACCCCACAAAGGGCTGAACAAACCACCGCTTCTTCAGAAGGCCATTTTCACAACCAGGGCGAGTAAGAAATATCATTCCTGGAAATGCAGAAGCGCCGCCGGCCTCCTTTCTGGTAAAATCAAAACAAAAACCCGACGTCACCGCCCAGTCTGACATCGAACCGTTTCCGCCGCGGGCAGGCCCACTGTTCAAGAACCCATTCAGGAAACCAGGGACCAAAAACAATAAAACAATCAACCAGAACAGGTGTGAACAGACCAGAGGAACGGGTACCGGGTTCTCGTAGACGGGGATGAGACCCCTGCAGCCGGAGCCTCGCGGGCCCCTCCAGACGGCACCTCCTCCTCCCCCCTCTTGCTGCACAAATGTGACGTGTGACGTCAGAACCAGAGCTGGGGAAAGGACACCCACCAACTCTTCCTCAGACCCTCCTCCCCTCCTGTTCTTTTCCTCACAAGCTAAGAGCTCGTTCCCAGGTGCACTGTCATGTCAGTGTTGAAGGACGACGGTCCTCCCAACTCCTCTCCCGCAAGCTCTCCAGGCGGCTCCGGGCAGGCCCCTGGCTATGTCCCCCACTCCGGGCTCCTCCCTGTGTGAGGCTGGGCTCCGGGCAGGCCCCTGCTATGCCCCTGGGCTCCTCCCTGCGTGAGGCTCCGGGCAGGCCCCTGCTCTGTCCCCGAGGCTCCTCGCTGCCGTAAGGCTGGGCCTGAGCCTGAGCCGGCACCTGGCAGGCAGCGCAGGCAGCAAGCTCAGCGCCTACGGCTCCCGGACACACTGCACTCGGGGAGCCGGCCACTCACTTCCAATTCCTGCTCATCTGCGAGCCTCCAGGGCAGGGTCCTGGCGCACCAGCTCCCTTTGGCACCGACGCCCGTGCTGGACCCGGTGCCCTCGGCCCTGCAGGGCCTCCACACCCCCTCTCTCCGCCTCTCTAAGTGGAAAGGGACACGTCCGCCTCACGCAGGACCAAGGAGCCTCCCTGCCCGGCCCCCCTTGGCCCTCAGAATCCCCCACGGCCAAGGTTCTGAGCCCGAATTCCTCTCTCGCCACCCCTGGCGGCGTCTCCAGTGCTGACTGAACCTGCCCTCTATCAAGCACACACCCCGCGCCCAAGGGGACACAGGCCGAGGTCCGGTCCCCACTCACCCTGCATCCTGCCCCCCCTGCCCCCTCGCAGGCCCCCTCCACTGGACGTAGGAGGTCAGCCTGGGACGTGCTTGGACTGCCCTAGCCCAGAGGCGGGCCTCTCGGAAACCCCGCGGGGCCGGGGCCTTTCGCCTTGTGGGCTGGCGCCCCAACACCCAGGGGTGACCACCACCCACCTGAGCATTTCGGGACCAAGTCCTGCTCCGAAGTGCACCGTCCGTGGCCCTCCCTTCAGCCCCCCCCCTCCCCGTCCTCCCAACTACCTAACGGGGGGCCCCCCTCCCCTCCCCCCGAAGGCCGCCAAGAGCTGAAGCTGGCCCACCTGACGCTCAGCATGCGTTTGGTCTCCTTTGGTTTGTTTTCTTTTTAAAGAATATGTGCAGTTGATCAGACGTCACTGGGCCCATTTCACACGGTGTAACTGGCTCCTCCGAGGCCTGGGCACCTGCCCTCTCCCTCAGGGCACCAGCGAGCGCTGTCCCCCAGTTCCTTCCTACCCGCCAGCCACCTCCCAACGCCGTGGCTCTCTGGTCTAAAGCAAGAGATTCTAACTCTTCCCGCTCACCAGGCCGGGCTCCCTCCAGCCTCCTTCCTCCCCCCACTGCCTGGCCCCCAGGGTCCCACCTGCTTTGCAGCTTCCATCCCACGAATGAGTGAATGAGGCCTGAATGAGGCCGCAGCGCAGGCACTTCCACTTCCTGCAGACACTGCCCTCCTCTGGCTTTCCTCTCACTCCAGGCACGGCCTCCCTGGCCTGGCAGAGACATTGCGTGGCTACACAGGAGGCTCAACCCGCTCCCCAGTTTGTATGACCCCCAGCCAGCCAGGCGGGACGTGAGCGGGGGCGACGGCCTCTCCTTGGAGAGGTACGTGAGGCCATCGCTCTCGCTCACAGCCCCCAGGCCTCCCACCGCCGGCTGCTGGGCAAGTCCGGCTCCTCAGCGGCTCCAGAGCCTCGTGCCCTGGCCCTCATGCGGCCACTCCCCCTCCCGCCCTCCGCACTCAGGCCTGTGAGGAGCCGCAGTCTCGCATCATCGCTGTGATTCTGCACTCGCTCTTCTCTCTGGAGAGCCCGCTCACCCCAGCGCCCAGCTGGGCAGAACCACCTCCCTCTCCGCTGACCTGGGTCACGTGGGCCACGCTGCGCGGTTTGTTTCCAAGTGTCTCCCCCCTGCCCGGCTGAGCTGTGGTCCCTTGAGGTCAGGAGGCAACAGTGAGTGCACTTCTTGGCACATTTTCTTTATTTTTAAATATATTTGCATTGATTTCAGAGAGGAAGGGAGGGGGAGAGAGAGATCAAAACATCAATGACGAGAGAGAACCATGGATCAGCTGCCTCCTGCACGCCCCCTACTGGGGATCGAGGCCGCAACCCGGGCCTGTGCCCTGACCTGGAATCGAACCCTGACCTCCTGGTTCCTACATCAACGCTCAACCACTGAGCCAGGCCGGCCGGGCTGGACACATTTTCTTTAAATGTCAGCTGCTCGGCCCCACCAAGCAACAGGCAGTCAGGCACCCACCATCTTTTCTGACACCAGAGCTGTCCTCTATCCCGGTCCCAGTGAGAACCGTGTCGCTCACGGGGAACAATGTCCCTTCCACAGAGGGGTCTTCTTGCCTCCAAACACAGACTTTCAGGCAGACCCGCCCCCGTGGGGACCCTCAGACTCCCTAACGGACGAGGCCGCGGCCAGGCCGGGGGCCCCTGCTTCCCGGCTCCCAGGCCTCTGCTCCCGGCCACCGGCAGTGGGACCTCCCAGGC